AAAATAAGTCAAGCAGATAAACAATATTTTTTGTCAATATTAAGGCATATCACATTTTCACATAGATGTATGTACTCTATCTAGTCTATTATTTTACCTGGTGAGATGCATCTTGCCATGCCACATCGATCAAATGCTTCCAATTATCTAAACTCACCCCTACGGGCGGATGACCATAGATCTCATCACGTGGAAGTCCTTCTAACAATTCGAACTCTTGCTTCAAGGTGTACCTCCAATCTTTGTACAACCCATAGGCCTTCTTATTCACAATCTCCTGTGCTTGTAAGTCATTGTGGAAATCGTCTCCAATTTGAAACTTGTCCTACAAACATAACAAATTGAAATAGTAATCATTAAATAATAGTCTTTCTTATTAGCATACATAATACAATTACATCTTGTGGACAAGTAATATTAGTTACAAGAACTCCTTGGATGACGGCAGCTTTTGTAGTCTCATCAAGATCCAGCCATGACTTCACATCTTTCAAAGGGCACAAGGTTCTAATTTGAATTCCTAACTCGTTAGTTGCTGGAGTGGCATACTTGCCAGTCATTGCATTCAACCCACGATCGATGTGAACATAACATTTTTCCCCTTTGTTGGCTATAATTATTTTTTGTATGCCCTTGCCAAGTGTCGGTCCACGTACACGTAGGGGCTTCGAAGTCCCTGTTAACAACATAACATCATGAAAATTGCCTAAAATTTGGCTACAAAAAAACAATGGCAATGGCATGTGGTAATTGACAAATTTTATACACTTCATTCTTACCTACGCCACTCGGCTGCGTTTCGGATGGGGCTTGTGTCTCATCAGAATCATCCATTGGTTGGCTAGTGACATGATGAGATGGTCCCACATTTGATCGGACGGGTACAACAGGAGACGGAGCAACGGGTGATCCTAAAGGAATAGCAGCTGGCGAGTCTGTTTCTGGCTGCGTGAGTGTCTTCTTCCGAAGCCGACCAGTCTTTAAGCCAGGAACCATTTTCCAATCTGCAATAACATAAGTAACACTATATACATGAACTAGACAAAAATAATGCTTGATTATTGCAGACAAAAATAATACATGAACTATACAATAACACAAGTAACACCATTTTCCATTTTCCAATATGCCATGATATGCCTACTTTAGTTAGTTTGGACAAAAAATAATTTTGAAGGCATGAACTAACTCAACTAATTTCGAAACTGAGAAGTTCATTAAAAGCACCCCCAAATTCATACAGATACAAGGATGAGCTAGAGCTCAGGCAAAGTTCCATCCTCTGGTACTATCTTGCAATGCATTGCATTTGTTTGCATCAACTACGCCAACCAATAAAAACTGAAAAAGAAAATACATTGCCTACCTAAACTAAGCTCTAAACAAACCTGCACTTCTCAACATATCTAAAGCAGGCAACAGTTTTTGTTAGGCATATGATTCATGAAAATCTAGTATTCACAACTTCAGAGGAAAGATCAAAGTACAATTCAAGTAACTAAACTAACTCAACAGATATTCAGCAGCTTTGGGTCCTGTATCTTTTGAAATTAGGTAATCAAGAAGCACTTGATGATCATAGTGTAACTGCAAACAAGTTAGGAGTGCATGTGTTATTTTATTTAATAACTTCGCCTGGTAAGTGAAGAATAGAACATAGAGGCATTTTCTTTGTATCAACAAAATAAAAGTATATACATTGGGATAAGAAGTCTTAGTTGTTCCCATTATCTATAAATATTGAACTTGCCTCTGCAAGAAAAATATGGAATAAGTGTATGGGGTTGAAAAGGTTTGAAACATGAAAAAGCATATCATCACATCTGTCTTGGCAGACCCTACATACAAACAAAAAAACTCATTAAAGACTGCTGCAACCAATACTCTTAATAACCACTAAAACTATTCTAGCATGTGTTGCTTACTGTTGCATGGCACCAAAGGACACGTGAAACAGTTGCAAAAGCACTTCAAATAGGATATTGTCCTACAAATCAACAGTAGACAAGACATTAGGATATAGCAGGTCTAAAGAAAGGCACATATTCTACGAACAAGAAATTAAACGATTAATAAATTAATACAACCATTCAAGCTACACTAGAAACTATATAAACTGAACTTAGGTTGAAGCACAGAGTGCCTACAAGAAACACCGTAATAGGATATTCTATCTTCGAAGTTCCTAAATGCAACTTAGATAAATGCAACCAAATCCATGCATAGGTTGTACATTATAAGTGTATCTTCAATAATGACATGACCAGTAGTATTTTTTGTTGTTATTATTATTGTTGGTGGCGGTGGCAGAGGCTCTATTATTGTTGTCCTCAAGGAGGTTGAAAATGCATTAAATTTCTTACTGGGTACACTACTCGTAAAATAAAATAGCCAAACACAAATCAAATAACTTCAAGACGTGAGGATGACAACAAAATTATCCATAAAACTTTAAAAGATCCAAGCCAAGGGGGTAAATTAAATTACAAAAACTATGACAATCTCATAGTGAGGTATTAGTGGACAAGGAAAAAGGGTGTACTTAATATTTTCTACAGAAAAATTAACGTGTCTAGTTAAAGATGCAAAGTAATGGAAAGCATAAGTCAAGAGAGGGTCAAGTATATCAAAAAGGAAATCATGAGAAAAATCAAAGATTAAAAAAGATAGAACCAAAGATTAAAGTAAAATAAAGAATGCCAAAGAACAAATCATGGAAAAGATTAAAACGATTCCCATGTGGTACCAGAAGACCTATTCTTCATTCTGCTGAGCTTCCCAAATTCTACCTGGCAAGAAAGATCATTTCAAAGACCCCATTGGTGAACCAAAAATGTTTTGCAAAATTCTAACATTTTTGGAAAATAATCAATTTAGAATAATTGAGTTCTATGATTAAAAGTTTGACTTGCAAAATCTGTTGGGACCATGCACCAGCCAAGAAAATTAAAATCATCTAATTTCTTAAAAAAGAAACATGCTCAAATTGATGAGAAAAGGATAAAACTTCCACTCACAACAGGAACCAGTTCTATCAAAAAATGACAGGCAATAGAAGTATAAAACATCATCATCTATAAACGAGCGACCTCTATTAAATAAGAAAAATACAAGAAAAACTAAACAAATTACCTTCCTTCCTTCACTCAGCTTCTGTCTAACTATTTGTCCTAAAGTTGGCTGCAGGCAGCAACAAAAAAATTAATTATAAATCAAATTAGTATGAACCAACGTATAATCCAAAAACAGATAGAAAAATATGTAGTTGCCTTTATGGGCTGGAAGAACTCATCAATAACATTTTGTGCTCTTGAATCTTCTGAAGACAAGTCTCCGGAAAATGTCAAATTTGCATTTGAATGAGTATTGACGACACCAGAACTACTAGGAGTAGTAGCTTGCCGTTTAGGCTGTCTTCTTTGAGCCGCACTAGTTGATCTCAATAGTCTCCATGTAAAAAGTATTGCAATGGCAAGCCCTGCTATAAAGCCCCAATAGATTGTGTATCCTGCAAATAATTACAAAGTAAAAACCATCATACTATAGCAATTGCAGATTATCCAGAATATTTTTTTTTTTATAAATAAATAATTTTATTGAAGGAGCATAAAGATGATGCAACAAAAACAAGACTACAAAAGTAATTACCAACTCCTTACCAACCCAACAAAAGTTTGTAATGCTATAGCTTGTAGATACTACATTGTCTCATTAAAGAAATAAAATAATAGAACTTCGATGTTATTTTCCTCACCCATGCTGGAGACATGCTATTTTTATTTTTATTATATGTATATTTGCAAGACACCACATGCTGGAGACATGTTCAAAACATATGTATTTATATTTGTATTATATGTATATTTTTAATATATATTTTATGTCAAATATTAATTTTATCAAATTTATCAACTTTAGATATGCTATTTTAATAAAAAAAAAATTAAAATTTTTTATTTTTTATTTTCAAAAATAGTACTCAACGTGTTCTTAGCGTGTCCTCATCGTGTTCCAACATGTTCGCAACGTGTCCAACTCTTTCCAGCGTGTCGAACACCTACACACAACCTCCGGAGAGGAGTCCGTGCTTCATAGGTGCATAGTTTCCAGTATAAACACAGTACTTCAGTTTCATGTTCAATGGAGACATTTCTGACTCTCTTCAGTTAAACATATTTGCTGGACACAACAAAGGAAAAAAAAATAAACCCACAAAATTGAAGGACAAAGTAACTATCAAATGCTCTTCTTTTGCTTCTTTAAAGTCAATGTCCATGTTCTCTCAATAGCAAAAAATCTTCTAAAATGGTAAATAAACAATACTCAAGAAAACCAACAACAATGACTTCAATAATGCAAAAACGACAAGAAATAAATTTTAAAAAATGACAGGTGTCCGTTAAACTAGACTATGCGACAAGACAATAGTAAATTCTGACAAAAAAATACAAGTAGTCATGTAAGAGATATAGTCTGTGAATTTTCTTTCTTTCTTATTTTTGACAAGTATGATGGCCTATGATTTTATCAAACTTATAATCCCAGGCATATCAGACTGGCAAAACAGGATTCAGTAGCTGACCCTAAAGTGATCAAAGCCAGACTGTTCAAAATCTGTACACATACATATTACAATTGAATTCAAACTAACCCTTCCAAACTAACCCTTCCTTCATTTATTCATGGTTAACTCTTATTCTAATCTCTATCTACAAAACCATAAAATACCAACAACAAAGCATAAACATAGCAGAGGCAGCCCCAAACTTGAACCCAACAACATCCACACAGTAGCAGCACAACAAAAACCCATTGCAAAACAGAGCAGCAACCAGACAAAACCAGCTTTACAGCCATACCAACCATACCAGCATAGCTACAGCCAAACAAATGCAGACCAGCTCAGAGCTTCCTATATCAGATGCATTCAGGGACAGGTTAAAATATGATACCAGCTGGTGTAATATAACTGCCATATTTGGTGCATGATTTTAACTTAATGTCAATTGTGTTGTTAACAGGTTGGCGATGCTGGGCCCATTCTTGATATGATGGCTGTGGCACTAGAGAACATCCCAAGTAATGCTGTTGTATCTAAAGCAACAACATTCGCTGTTTATCGGACTGCACAACTTATTTCTTCCATTCCTAATGTTTCATATAACAAGAAGGCAAGATTCGATTTCCTCATATAGCAATATGTTGCTATGTTTTCAGTTTATAAAAATCATCTAACCCTGCGGCATAATTTCTTGCTTCAGGCCTTTCCTGATGCTCTATTTCACCAGTTACTTTTAGCAATGTCCCACCCAGACCACGAAACAAGAGTAGGGGCACACCATGTTTTCTCCATTGTGCTTATGCCATCTCTTATTTGTCCTTGGTTAGTTCGTAATGGAGGACCTGCACAAGCTCTCCTGGGGTTTTCGCCAATTGCTTCAGAGAGGATAAAGAATGGAAGTTTCTCGATTCAGGATGAAAGCAATGACAAACCCAAGGAGGAAGTCAGTCAAGTTTTGGATAATGGCGTGACTCAATCTATAAAATGTCCATCTCGTCGTCGATCATTTAGTTTCAAGAATGCTATGGTCAATGGAAAAGCAGTATGTCACAAGTCTTTGAAAGTTGCAACACAATCTGTCATTTGGTTTTGCCTTACTGTGATTATTGTAATTTTTCTAATGATCTCTTTTGAGTGATTTATCTATCTAATCTTCTTCGGGATCTGACTGCCCTCCGATTGAGTAGTCACCAAGTGAGTCTCCTGCTTTCAGCAATCTGGGTGCAGGCAACATCCACAGAAAATACCCCTGCAAATTTTGAAGCGATGGCCCACACATATAATGTCACTTTATTATTTACCCGGAATAAGGTATCCTCATGGTGCTGTTTACTTATATTTATTGTTTCTACCATTTTGATACTTATCCCTTGGAATTTCTTTATATGTACTTTTTTTTCTTCTTTTTTCTGGATTAAGAATTCTATATTGAAAAGATTCCAGTTGCTTGGGAAAGTAACTCTAAGATAAAATTGTATCTACAATATACATTCAGTGAATCTGGAAAGAAGTTTCGTGGAAATAGAATACTGTATTTACTTCACTACTAGTACTAGCTTTACTTTAAAAGTGGTGAAAGCCTGCTTTCAGAGATTTGAGTTATTTGATTGTCAAAAATGATTCTTCTAACACTCTTAAAACCAGAGTTCTAATGAGCTTCTCACCTGTGGCAACTTTGTTACGTAATTCAAGGTTTTGAATCCTATGAGCACTGAGAGTATAAACAGAGCAGAGGCAGCCCCAAACTTGAACTTAAAAACATCCACACAGTTGCAGCAGCAACCAGACAAAACCAGCTTTACAGCCATACCAGCATAGCTGCAGCCAAACAAATGTTGATGTTCTCAGAGCTTCCTATATCAGATGCATTCCACCAAAAGGCACCATTCAGTTACATTCCACCAGCACACCCCATAGTAACCCATTGCACAAAGTGCTATGCTGACCATTAAATACACCAACCATTCAGATCTTCAATGAATGCAGGTTTAACTGGGCTCAACTCACAATCTGACCAGCATAGCTGCAGCCAAACAAGATGCAGACCAGCAACCTTCCATTTGACAGCAGCCCAACAAAACACCACATTTAACCTAGTGACAACCATTTGACAGCAGCTCCACAGAATGTACTCCAGGCCCCCTTAAAAAACATTCTACTTGACACATTGAGCAGCAGTTAGATACCAAAGCTACACCATAAACTTCACTACCAAAGATACACCAAAAATGCCTCCCACTACATTCTGGACAGCAACCCTTCCAGGGCAGATCAGCAAAGGCAGGGCAGAGATAAACCAGAGGAAAAAAACATAGAATGGCAGAGAACAAAAACATGGGTCCAGGGACTGCACTTCTGCACTGAGTGGGTACACCCACAGCAAAACTCCACCCATTTCAGTTTGGATTAGCTGCCTTAAACACACATTGATTTCTGAGTTTATTGACATTTACGAAGATAGATCCCCCTTCATTATTTTGAGTTTCCTATGCATTTGTGCACCAATTGAACATTCACATTGCTCAAATTATGCCATGAACTAAAGCATGATATACATCAAGATTCTACATCAACATCTGTATCAAAATCACTTTGTAGGTCATATTCTTCGTATGTGTCGTCACCCTCCCTCATTAATCCATCTTCATCATCACAGATGAAGGCATCATCTGTAACACCCTGGGCTTCTACCCCTCTGACAGATTGCAAAACTTCCATGGGAATAATTTCAGATTCAATATCATCTCGACGCAAAGCCACATCATCATCAATAGCCATAGTAGGTACGACCTCGGTGGTTTCTTCTTGTTGGAACACATCATCAGGTTGTACGAAATCCATCTCCGGCACATCCCAAATTCCTCGATGTTGAAACTTTTCAACGACTCTCCAACTGGTACATAATTTGGTGTCATTAACATAGAATACTTGTTCAACTTGACTTGGTAATACAAATGAGTCATCTTTGTACCATCGACTTGTTACATCAACTGCTGTGAAATGTGGCTCTACACGCATAGTTCTACTACTACCGCTGTTAAACCATTCGCATTGGAACAATACAATCCGACATGTGAACAAATAGTTCAGTTCCCACACTCTGCACAAGTGTCCATAGAAGTGTATCAATTGCCCTTCATGCTCCCCTTCCACGACTAATCCACTATTCTGACTTTTCCGACGGTTGTCACGGTTGATAGTATGATAACGGACACTATTACAATACATCCTGAATATGTGTTCACTAAGCCACTAGGACCATTGGCTAATGACCACATATCATCAGTTGCTTTGGGGGAATGTTGGCTCCGCAATTCATTCATCTACATGAAGAACATGTGTCATGTTACTAGCATGCGTAACATTTACGTAATGTACGATCTATGGTAGGATATGAGAATACTAGCTTACATGATCTTTGAACCATTTAGGAAATTCTTTCCGATGTCTGTTTTCGATGTCGAACGCACCGGCTCTTTGGTGTAACAAGTTCTTGTGCTCCCTAGTTACAAGAAATGCGATTCAAAAACTATTTACTAAAATAAAGACTAATCAATTTACAACAAAAACATTATAAATACGTATGAAGGATTCATACTCTACGTGTTTATCCACTTCTGTGCTGTTGTGTAGGACAAACCAATGAGCCAACTCGCGTTCAGCTACGGACACATCGGACGCCCTTGTCATTAGACCAAAGGGACGTACAGTTTGAGTGAATACCGCCAACCCTAGGCCACGGTCACCCATGTCATAATTCCTTTCTGGGCGGTTAAACAATGTTTCAACTCCATCCAAATACATTGAACAAAATGTTGTACATTCTTTGGAAATGTAATTAACAGGTTGGCGATGCTGGGCCCATTCTTGATATGATGGCTGTGGCACTAGAGAACATCCCAAGTAATGCTGTTGTATCTAAAGCAACAATATTCGCTGTTTACCGGACTGCACAACTTATTTCTTCCATTCCTAATGTTTCATATAACAAGAAGGCAAGATTCGATTTCCTCATATAGCAATATGTTGCTATGTTTTCAGTTTATAAAAATCATCTAACCCTGCGGCATAATTTCTTGCTTCAGGCCTTTCCTGATGCTCTATTTCACCAGTTACTTTTAGCAATGTCCCACCCAGACCACGAAACAAGAGTAGGGGCACACCATGTTTTCTCCATTGTGCTTATGCCATCTCTTATTTGTCCTTGGTTAGTTCGTAATGGAGGACCTGCACAAGCTCTCCTGGGGTTTTCGCCAATTGCTTCAGAGAGGATAAAGAATGGAAGTTTCTCGATTCAGGATGAAAGCAATGACAAACCCAAGGAGGAAGTCAGTCAAGTTTTGGATAATGGCGTGACTCAATCTATAAAATGTCCATCTCGTGGTCGATCATTTAGTTTCAAGAATGCTATGGTCAATGGAAAAGCAGTATGTCACAAGTCTTTGAAAGTTGCAACACAATCTATCATTTGGTTTTGCCTTACTGTGATTATTGTCATTTTTCTAATGATCTCTTTTGAGTGATTTATCTATCTAATCTTCTTCAGGATCTGACTGCCCTCCGATTGAGTAGTCACCAAGTGAGTCTCCTGCTTTCAGCAATCTGGGTGCAGGCAACATCCACAGAAAATACCCCTGCAAATTTTGAAGCGATGGCCCACACATATAATGTCACTTTATTATTTACCCGGAATAAGGTATCCTCATGGTGCTGTTTACTTATATTTATTGTTTCTACCATTTTGATACTTATCCCTTGGAATTTCTTTATATGTACTTTTTTTTCTTCTTTTTTCTGGATTAAGAATTCTATATTGAAAAGATTCCAGTTGCTTGGGAAAGTAACTCTAAGATAAAATTGTATCTACAATATACATTCAGTGAATCTGGAAAGAAGTTTCGTGGAAATAGAATACTGTATTTACTTCACTACTAGTACTAGCTTTACTTTAAAAGTGGTGAAAGCCTGCTTTCAGAGATTTGAGTTATTTGATTGTCAAAAATGATTCTTCTAACACTCTTAAAACCAGAGTTCTAATGAGCTTCTCACCTGTGGCAACTTTGTTACGTAATTCAAGGTTTTGAATCCTATGAGCACTGAGAGTAATTTTTTTTAGTCTTCATAATAAGAAGTATCTTTTTCTTTTGGATTCTTAAGTAGGCTAATGTGGAAGCTGATATGCCTAATGTGGAAGCTGATATGCCCTATGTGGGCAGTTTTAGTGGGTACCGAAATGCCTCTATATTTATTTTGGTGGTCCTTAGAATTTTCTTGGAGTTGTCATCTCTATTGTCAACTATGATGGCCTATGATTTTATCAAACTTATAATCCCAGGCATATCAGACTGGCAAAAGAGGATTCAGTAGCTGACCCTTTGCATTTCAAAGCCAGACTGTTCAAAATCTGTACACATACATATTACAATTGAATTCAAACTAACCCTTTCATACCTTGTGTGGAATCTTTTTACCACCATCATCGTTCAACTTGTATCTACACGCGTCACATGTAGGGCATTTCTCCAAATTAGCACTCTCCTTCCAAAATAGTGCACAATCATTCTTGCACGAATGAATTGTTTCATATCCCAAAACCAAGTCACGTAAGAACTTCTTAGCATCATAGAGTGTCCATGGAACTATTGGATCACATTCTGGTAGAATGTCCTTGAATACCTGCATAACCATATCGAATGACTTGTTGCTCCATTTGTTGTACACCTTCACATGAAGCATCTTAATGACGAATGATAACACAGAAAACTTTTCACATGTCGGGTGAACTTTGCGTTGTGCATCTTCGAATAACCTAGTGAACTTATGCAAATCCTCCCTCTCCAAACCATTAGGTTCCTTGTCGGTATGATCATCCATAAGACCACTCACATAAATTTCTTCCAACATAATAGGCAATTCATCCATGGGCGGATCATCGATATCTGTCATACATTCGCCACTATCTCCATATTGGTCATTTGATACACTAGGACGAGACACGGGAACATGTTCCCCGTGATGCACCCAAGTTAGATACGAAGATGCCATGCGTCTTTGGATCAAGTGCATCCACACAACTTGTCTGCTATATTTTGTGCCGTTAATGCAATCGACATACGGACACCTAATTTCATCCTCTAC